TCTATTATCCCCCCTTTAAATGTTTCTCTCTACTTACGGATCACCTACATAATTATTGAATTATATATATATATATATATATTGTGAAATAATTCTTATTTTCGGGAGTTAGGTTATTTACAATTTTAATAAACTACATAAATTTGGAGTTTATTCCTTTTATTTTTTAAAGTTTCGATCCCTTATTTTCTTATACATAGAATGGGATCCTCAGCCATCATTGGCACAAAAACTCAAGTTCCTATATGCCGTAAGCAACAATTTTTAATTTTTCCCACCTTCTTATCGAGCTTCGATACTCCAAGCCAGGGGCACACCAACAGCCTCATAGTCCGTGGGCCAGACCTCCCTACCGTGCACTCCACCCTCCCCCACATCCCTATAAATTGCATATCGTTGTGTTCCTTGTAACTATTTATTAAAAAAAAAACAATGTTTCCACAAAAAAAAGTGAACGAACTGCCCCAAAATGGCGTTCAAACATGGCCGACTGACGACTTTGACTTTAGTTAGTTTTTTGGTCGCTGAGAATCAGCATTTGGCTTCATTTCGTCATAGTTGGTCTTTTGTTGAAGCTGGCTAGTCAGAGAATAATAAATTATGAAAAAATATTAAAAAATAATTGGCTTAGGCAATAAAAACACCAGTAAAGTCAATTTAATAAAAAAAATTTCAAGTTGAAAATCAAGCGTCGTTTGTATTAAAACGGCCAGCAATAACACAAAACGTGCTGAAATAAAGCATCTAGAGAATATATTTCTCTTTCTTAAACACTGATTACTTTTTAAAATATTTGAAGCCGTCATGTAAAAAATGCACATAAGCGGCAGAAAAGTGGTATATATAGTAGATAGATAAACAGAACATTTCAAGATGCTGCTAAAAAGGTGTCAAATGCTGGAGCAGATTTTATGATATTCAGGGGACGATGCAGGTTTATTATGGAGAAGACCATTTTATCAGCAACAAAGATTTGTTCGAAGAAATTGGCAAGTCAGCAGGTCTGGACGAAGCAAACGAGGTTTATTATGGTGAAAACAAATTAATTTTCAATTGCTACCGAAGTTGCACATTAGAATATCTTCACTTTGAAGCAGGTTATAGAGAGGTCTATCGAGAAAGGGAAATATTTCTCCTTCTGTTTAGTGCATTTCTTATTCAGAAATACCTAAGAAACTCTACTCGAAGATCGTAGAAGCTAGAATAAGATATATTGTCGATTGCCAGACCGATATGGATTGAGAAACCCAAGTTACACTTGGGGCAGAAGTTGCAAATTGGGACTTTCTTCACTTTAAGACAGGTTATAGAGAAGTCCTTCAAGAAAAAAAAATAGCTCTCTATCTGCTTAGTGCCTCACACTTTGGATTGTGCTAATATCTACTAGTCTTTCATAAAAGTTCGTTTTCCTTTCAGATTTCTTAAAAATCTTTTGCAAATGTACTAAACAGAAGGAGAAATATTCGGTCGTGAGAAATTGTGCTCTCTCTATAACCTGCTTCAAAGTGCAGACATTCCAATGTGCAACTTCGGTAGCAATTGAAAATTAAGTTGTTTTCACCATAATAAACCTCGTTTGCTTAGTCCAGACCTGCTGACTTGCCAATTTCTTTGAACAAATCTTTATGCAGATTTATTCCAGACGATGCAGATTTATTATGGAGAAGACCATTTTATCAGCAACAAAGATTCCAGAAATCTATGACCTTTCAAAATTTTATAGAATATAAACGACAGCGTGCTATATGTAGAAACATAACCAATCAGTCTAAGACCGAATCCTGGAAAAAATTTATAAGCTCCATTAATTCCTCAACCACATCAGCTGACGTTTGGAACAAAATCCATAAATTCACTAAAACTTCCCATTCCTTTCGCTATACTATTTTGGTCAATGGACGACTGCCTGATAATCCTCTATCAGTCTCAAACACATTTGCAATTGAAATATATATTATGAAATATATATATTTTTTTCTGAAATATATAGCTCCGAAAAAAATAATACAAGCTCAGAATACACGGACCCTGAGAGGACAATCGATGATGAATTATTATATCACAACCTCCCATTTACAATGCGGGAACTCAAAAACATATTAAGAACTGTTAAAGGCCCAAATCCCTGGTCCTGACCTGGTCCACTATGACATGATAAAAAACCTCTCAGGTAATAACACTGGAATAGTTACTTGGATATTATAATCATGTCTGGTCCACTGGGCAGTTCCCGAATAAATGGTGTGAACCAAACAAGTACGAAGTAAGTATGAAACAAGTACTTGAAAAACGATGGGATGTAGATCAGGACGTAGACGCATTATTTGTCGATTTCAAATCAGCCTATGACTCAGTTGACAGAAACTGTCTCTGGAAGATCATGACTGAGCTGGGTGTTTGTGTGTTTGTGTTTGAGCTGGGTGTGTCATTAATCCCGGGAAATTAATGAGGATGACGAAGGCGTGTACAAATGATCCTAAATGCAGGGTACTAATACAAGGAGACGTATCTGAAGCCTTTGAAGTTCGAACGGGTTTGAGACAGGGAGATGGAATCTCACCGATGCTGTTCAACTTAGCACTAGAGAAAGTAATAAGAATAACATCAAGCGAAGATGGAGGGGTGCACGTTGGAATGAAACATAAAATTCTAGCATATGCCGATGATATAGCTGTCCTCGGAAGTAATCAAGAGGATATTGAGAGACTCGCTCGGATTCTATTAAAAGAAGCAGACCAAATCGGACTACAGGTCAATGATAAAACATAATACATGATAGTTATCCGAAATATCCACCCTAATAACATGGTCTGCGTGGATTCTAAGTCATTCCCGAAAGTAGACAGATTCAAATACCTCGGCTCCACAATAACTTCAATAAATGATCAACTAACAGAGATAGACCAGCGAATAACAAGTGCGAACAGATCTTTCTTCTCTATTTCAAAGGTACTGAAATTTAGAAAAATCTCTAGAAATCTAAACCTAAGGGTGTACAACGCTGTGATTAAGTCATTTATGCTGTACGGTTGTGAAACCTGGTCTCTAACCGGCACACTAGAAGCCAGAATTGAGATAATCGAAAGAAAAGTTCTCCGTAACATAACAGGACCAGGACCTATATGGGACCAGAAAATTGACACATGAAGGAGAAGGAACAATAAAGAACTGCTGAAAGAAACGGGTTAGTCAATATCTCAAGACATGAAGTATGTAGGATGTATGTAATTATGTATGGATAGCAATCCATCAGGGCCTCTTTACACGACAATGGATGCCAGAGTAGTAGACAAGAGACCACGCGGGAGTCCAAAAAACTGGATGGATAGATAGGATAAACAAAGATACGACTGAGCTTCATGCCGCAAACTGGAAAGCAGTAGCTCAAGATAGACAAAGGTGGAGAAGGCTGGTTCAGGCGGCTAAAGATCCACAAGGTCTATAGAGCAAATTGAAACTTGAGGGAACTTTACAACTTGAAAGAAAGCATTGCTCCAAAACAAATATCACGTCACCACTAACTTACAGTTTCAAGAGAAGCCAATCTAAACTCTTATCGTTGCATTAGTTTATATTTATCTAATTACAAAATATTATACTTTTGGACTAATGTTTCTCACTCTCAGTTTCTCAGATAACGGGAGATTTACATTGCCACTCCCAGAAATCAGATGCTCAGTTATTATTATTATTATTATTATTATTGAACATCAATAAAAACCATATATACCCATCTACTCAGTTAGTTATGTAATTAAAATAATGAAAAACGCAATCTAATGGAAGATTAAAGAGGATAGAAAAAAACGAATGAACGAAATGGTCGGTTTGGTAATTTCTGTAACCTGTTTTTCATTTTCCTTTTCCTAGCCGAACTCTACGCTATTATCACCACATCATTGATTACTTTGTTTAACAAGAAAAATGTTTCAATAGCTTAACAGTTTTTAAGTATATGAAGAAACCCCTATGGGCTTCATTTATTAAATTATTTATGTAAATATAAAGTAATTTATTGATGTTATAATTTTTTATAAAACATTATAATACTTCAAAGTAAAACAGTAAATCATGAATGTCAAGCTTCGTGGTGTAAAATCAACAAGGTGGATTTACCTTCCGTGTTATAACTTTTGTGGAGATAGGTAATACAATTATTCTTTATATATATTTTTCTTCTAAATAACTAAGAAAACTAGAAAACATGAACTTTGTTTCATTCATATTTAAAAAAAAAGTGTTTGAAACTGTATTTTCTCAATGGCTCCCGTTTTATCCACGATAGTTACAATTCGACCACTAAAGTTACGTTTTTCTTTAGAAAACTACATTCACCACATTAATTCGAATGTGAATTCGAATCAGGTAGTCTTATTGAATGTATTGGTTTTGTGTCAAAACAATGCAGATTTTAAGATTAACTCTATTTTTATTTGTTGACAAAAACTTTTTTTTTTCGAAAATAACAATTTTGTTCATAATTAATGTTGCAAGCTGAAGATTTTAGAAAAATTAATATCTAACGTACTGTAGAAGGCAGAAACCAAAATAATTATTATTACTGTTTATTATTTTGAATAGAAAATGTTTTTATGTAAGCTAACATTAACTAAAAATAGTTAGTGCACATAATTGTAATGCTTTGTTTTAACTGTCGTAAGTTTTTATTATGATTGAAGGAGTATTATTAAAGTTTATTAAGTTTTTAAAATATTAATTTCTTCTTAATTTAAGATAGTAATTAAATTAATTTTTCGTCAAATTTGTTTGTTTCAAATATGATCTTAGTGACACAACAAAATAATTAATTGGTCACATTACCATACCAATAGATTAATTTAGTTTACTAGATGAAAATTAAATAAGTGTGGATCACAAATTTTATATCAATTCAAGAACCCTCATACTCCACTGGGCGGTAGACGAGGAGCTGATTAAGAAAAAGGGTTATCAATCATAGAACTGAAAAAAAAAGTTGGTTTTCAGTAAACAATGAATATAACGAATCATGTAACTTTATTAATATGAAAAAATAATATTATTATTTGAAATAAAAAATTATAAATGACATGCTCCCTAAAAATTGTAACCATAAATAGTTTGAATTTCTTCTTCATTTCAATCAAAATATTTCTGCATCACTTATTTCTGAATCAGTTGAAGCCAGTACAAGCGAATCCATATCGACTGAATAATATGAATCTGAATCAAAAGAATATTCTGAATCATCTGTATTATAATCTGCAAGTTTTCTCCAATATACCCCTCTTTTTTTATGAACGTGACGATCTGTATGGAACTGACTTTTACCGGCAAAATTTATGTACGGATTTTCTTCCTCCTTATTTACTTTTTCATTTTTTGCCAACTGTTTCTCCAGAAGTTGTAAGCTGGTTTCGTCCGAGTTCATATGTAAATCTCTTTTTTTATTTTTTCCACCTTGAATATCGTGAGTTGAGGCTTCAGGAGATATTATGCCAAGTGCTTTTTTAGCTCTTTGATGGTAATTTAAAAGGTCAAGTGTCAGATGGTAATTATTGTAAGGATCTGGTTCGTAAGTATAAATGGAATTGTATGAATCAGATGAACTTTCTGACATTTGCTCTCTTCTGGCTTTCTGTTCTCGTCTCAACGTTAACACTCGTTCTCGCCGGACATTCGAGTTCTTGTGACTTTCCTCTCTCTTAGCACCATATGATCTAGGATGTTTTTTTGAATGGGCAACATCACGAAGTATTTTGCGCCTTTTTACTGTTCTTTTTAAACCCAAATTATCTGTCGAATCAGTAACAGTGACATCTTCGTCGGTTAAATAGTATATTGTAGGTTCTTCTTCTTTTTGTATATACCTTTTGTCCCCACTCGACATCGAAGAACTTATTGAAAAATCAGATACTTGTTGAGAATTACTTTCACTGCTTGTGTGTGGTATATGCCCTTGGTAAGAGCTTTCGCCCCTTAACTTATCATGAATCACTCTGAACAAATCTTTCCATTGTCTCCTTAAAATTCGTTGACAACTGAAACATAATTATAATATTATCTGGTAGTTAAAAGATTGCCACAAGAATAATTAAAAAATGTAATGATACAAGATCAGGCTTATACTTACTAGGATAGTAAGCCGGCAGCTCCGAAGCTAAGAATTGCCACAAGTATGACCAGTATCGCAAACGATATTTCTACGTATAGTGGTTCAAAGTCCTTAAATACATGTTTAGTATACTGGTTATCATCCATCAGATATTTCACGAATTCATTCCTGTATTTCACTGAAAATTCATAACAATAATTTTATAAATATTTAACAGCTAGGAATGATCATGATCATTAAAAAAATGTATTATATAACTATCATTTGTACAAATAAAGACGACTATTAAGGGGCTGGAATAGGCTACAGTATTTTCACTTTCAGGCGAGTCGTTTTAAAGTTCAGGTTTCATTCAACAAACAACCTTGTAAAAAAAAAAACGGAATTTCCTGCCTACCCAAGTAAGGAACTCCACCTGACAAAGCTGCAGAGTAAATTGATTTGAGTTTAAATACAAATAAGGAAACGACAATGATTTTTATAGACTATACTATGCCTTCGACTTTCTATTTCACGATATTCAGAACCTTGAGCTTAGGGATCTGAAACGTCTAGAACAGCTCTATCGAATTTCTTTCAACAGTTACAATCTAAGTACAGGAGTGCCAGTGTACTTGTTCGTAACGAGGATTGGTTGGGCAAGCTCCATTCACAGAACATGGAGTGAACCACTAATAGATCCCAAGCCTCTCCTGTTCTCGTTATGAACTATTAATTTAATAGGCTAAATCTATAGGAGTAACAGTAACTACTTACGTAAACACCATAACCATCCACAGTGGGAGTTGCAGCCTAACGTGGGCAATACAAAACATGCCATATATTCGTTCAATAGCTGTGTAATATCAAAATTGAAGTAAATCTGCCAAAGGTCGACTACATGATGTACTAGTAACACTGCCGAGGACACTCCGAGGGACAAACACAATATCCTCTTATATCGAGGAATCAGGCATCAGGCACTTAATTGTAGTATGTAATTTTAAAAATTCTTGCGTTCTAAATCCAAGAAGTTGCTTGGTTTGTAAAAAGTACACCTAACTTGAGCACTAACACGTCATGCCGTATGAAGAAGACTTTTAAACTATATAAGGTGATGAGACTAGTCATTTACCGAACACTGCATTATTGGCTGAGAATGCTACACAGCTATATTAAGAAGTAATATCATTCATTGGCACTAGCGGTCCCAGGAGGATTTAATTGGCTTCAGCCCGAAAGGTTTTTTTTCATAAAAATGACGATAATTACTTTGGAAAAAAAGAAAGAAACTAACTATCTATATGAAATGGTGTTTAAGTGATTTCTTAAGTCCTTTTAAATGTAATTATACGAACAATAATACATTAAGAGATGATTTTTCAATATATTTTTCCATAAAACATGGTTATATTTTACCATTTTGGGGGTGGCTTCAGCACGAACCTCCCCCCCCCCCCCGTTGATCCGCCCGTGTTCATTGGAGACAGGATGGCCGAGCAAGATCGGGAGTAGGTCACAGAGGGTTCTGAACATTATGGGTTCGATTCTCACTTAGGTCGGTTAACATTTATTTCTCAGCCACCCCGGAAAATGAATCTTGACATTCCTCCTAAATAGTTCCCCCACCATTTCCAGTACCAGTAATACCATTGATAAATAATATATAGGGGTGCCATTATTTTACTGAAGTTATTACAAGGAAAATAGTGTAATTTTGGAAGTAATTAAAAAAAGAGTGAAATTATTTCACAAAGAACCAATATTTGAAAGATAATTTTATTGCGTTCATATATATGTTTGGCGCTCTCTGTGAATATATTATTAGTTAAATGTAAAATTTAACATTTTTGATTCATCTTCAACCAAAACAGTGATAGTACAAATATAAAAAACACATCTGAAATAGAAAATTTAAGTAAATATGAAATTTATTATAAAAAACTAGAATTAACCTTTGATCTTGACCCAATTCGTATGCCATTTCATATTAAATATTTTATGTCTAATAGTACATTCCCATTCACCTGTGTCATCCATATCAAGTGCGATTTCTTTTGTGTTAACCTGAAACAGTAAAAGAGTGATAAATCATACATATCTTCAACATATAGACTTATATATGAATACAATTGTATGAAATCATCAGTCTATGGACTGGAAAACTTAATTAATTAGTAATTAAATAATTTTTTTTTAACTTTCTTTATTGAATATTAATACATTCTGCCACATTGAAGGGCATTAATATTAAGGCTACATGATTCATTCACACAATATGTACATACAATTAATATCAATAATAAAGAAAAAGAAATATAAAAAAAATAAAATAAGTAAATTAAATAAATAAATTATAAATTATTTTATAATCTGAAAAGATTAATAAAATGTTATTTCTTCTACTTGTTACGAACATGTCAACATTATAACAGTCTGTTCAATATCTTGCTGGAATTTACACCTCCCTTCCTCCCGCTCCCCCCCCCCAAATAACTTTACCGAAGTGTAAATTGAAAATTTGCTACAAGAAAATAATTTGATATTTTTTCATTTTTCCACAATCGACTTAATACATTGATTTTGATTTTCTCTTGATAGTCTTAAATTGACCTTTTGTAACTTTACTTGTCTTCTTTTTATTCAGTTATATATATATATATATATATATATATATATATATATATATATATATATATATATATATATATATATATATATATATATATATATACTTTATATCCAGTTTTAATTCCTGAAGCCTTCTTGTTTTTTCCACTCTTCTTTTATTTATCTCAAAACTTTTCACAGAATTTATAAATACCCATTTTCTATCATTTTCAGCCAAGTCGTTTTTATTTACTGCATTAACTGGTGAAATTAATGGTTGCTTACAAAAAAGTAAATATGGTGGAATATCGAATTTGGTGGAAGAATTATATTATTAAATGGCACTATATCCCAATTATTTGAGACTTGGCCTGCTTCAGCATGGATCTCCAGTTCTCCCGATTAGTTGCTGCAGCCTTCCAATTTCTGACACCAAGTAGTCTACATGCATCAGCAGGCACACAGTCTTGCCAGCGCAAACATGGTCTTCCCACTCGTCTTTTTCCAAACACAGGCTCATTCATAGCTCTCTGTTGGGGTGCATTCATATCCATCCGCCCGACATGTCCCGCCCAGCGTAGTCTTGGCAGTACAATGAATTGGCTCACATCCAGGTCATTAAACAATGTCTTTATTTCCAAATTCGTTCTCCTCCTCCAATTCTGTGATGTTTCCTGGACCCCTCCAAATATGCGTCGTATAATCCTCCTTTCAAATCTGAGCAGGGATTTATCAACTGCTTTAGTTAAGGTCCAACTCTCACAGCCATATGTGAGCACTGGTCTAATAAGAGTTTTATATATTCTTATTTTGGCCTGTCTTGACAACATTATACTGCGAAGCTGTCTCTGGAGAGAGAAATAGCACCGATTAGCCACTGTGATCCTCCTGTCTATCTCACAATCAATGTTATTTCGTGCATTTATCAATGAACCAAGATATACAAATTCGTCAACATTCTCGATTCCACGCTGTTCCAGCCATGCTTGGTTTTCCCTTGTTAGACGTGAGGATAGGGTGGACATATATTTTGTTTTGGACGCGTTGATAATAAGACCGATTTGGTTGCCGACTCTTCGACTTGTAAAAGCTTCCTGTACTGCCGCAAACGATCTTCCCATTATATCAATGTCGTCTGCATATCCAAGTATTTGGGTCATTCGATTTAGTCTAGATACCAGAATCCCTTATGACTTTTTCAAGGGTAAAATTGAATACCAGACATGCCAGAGCGTCTCCCTGCCTTACACTTGTCGATGTTCTAAACCCCTTTGACAAGTCACCTTGTACTCGTACGAAACACTCATTACCCTCCATTGTCATTCTAACAAGCCTTACAAGTTTTTTAGGTACATTCATTTCTACCATTGCTTTGTATGCTTCCTCACGATTTATGGAATCATATGCTTGCTTGAAATCAATGAAGATGTGATGTGTAACAATTTGATATCTTTGGTTTTCTCCAGAAGGATTCGCAAGGTGAATATTTGATCGATGGTTGATTTACCCTTAATGAATCCGGCCTGGTATTTTCCGATTTCAGCCTCGGCATAAGAAATGATTCTTCTATAAAAAATCCTTGAAAAATTTTTATAGGCGGTGGGTAGAAGGCATATGCTTCTGTAATTATTACATTGATAAACGTCCCCTTTTTTGTACACTGGGCATATATTGGATTTTTTCCAATCACTTGGAAGCTCTTCATCAACCCAAATGGCATGAAACATTTCCTGGAGGAGTTTTATGAGCTCTTGACTACCATGTTTATAGAACTTTGCAAGGATGTTATCAATGCCTGGGGCTCTATTGCTTTTTAGTCCTTCTATGGCTTCATTGATTTCTTCCTCGTCTGGGTGTTCTACATCTTCACCATCTCTAATTGGATCATTTGCTTCTGAGACATTTGTGCCATTTCTGTTAAGAAGAGTTGAAAAGTATTCAGCCCATCTGTCCGAAACGCTGTTTTTCAGTTACTAAGGAGCCATCGTTTGCTCTGCATCCTGTGGTACGGGCGATAAAGGGCTTTCTTCCTTTATTAATAACCTGGAAGAATTCTCTAGTATTTTTGGAAATGAAGGCCTCTTCTATCTCCTGTAGACTCTTATTCTCCCATCGTCTTTTCTTCCTCCTATGGACATGCCTCTCACGCCTTCTCGTTGCTCTGCATTCCTCTACAGAGCTTCGTGTGTGCTTCCTTTGCATCACTTTATTGTATGCAATGTTTTTTCTCTTGGTCACTGCACCACATTCGTCATCGAACCACGGGTTATATATCTGCTTGGTCTTATCTCCTACAACCTCGTTCGCTACTTCCATATGTGCAGTGCGGCATGAGTTCCATTGTGACTCGAGATTTGATTCTGGGACAGAGTTCCTTAATCTGATGTCCAGTTGGTATGAGAATCTAATGCTTGTATCACTGTCCTTAAACTTTTCAATATTGTACCTCTTCAGAGAACGTCGAGGCTGGTACTTCACTGTTGATATCCGATACCTTATTTTTGCAATTATAAGGTAGTGGTCCGAGTCAATGTTAGCCCCTTGTTTTGTGCGAACATGAAGTAATGAGGATTTATATCTGGCGCTGACAAGTACATGGTCGATCTGAGAGCTTGTAGTGGATCCGTTCCGTCCGATTTTCCTCCATGTTTCTAGATGCATTAACTTGTGCGGGAAATAGGTACTTCCCACAACCAAACCCTTAGAAGCTGCGAAGTTCACCACCCTTTTTGCATAGTCGTTAGAGTTCTCATAAAGGCTATTTCTTCCTATAGTAGGCCTAAATGCTTTCTCTTTTCCAATTTGAGCATTGTAGTCTCCAACCACTATTTTCATATCATGAGCAGGGCAGTCATCAAAGCACTTCTCCAGTTCCTCATAGAATTCGTCTTTCATTTCATCTTCAGAGAAGTCTCTGAAGTAGGCGCGTGTACACAGATGATGCTGACTTTGTGAAACTTTCCCTTGATTCGCAAGACACAGAGTCTGGGGCTGATAGGCTTGAAATCTATAACTTGCTGGGCCACTCTTATTCCCACAATGAATCATGACCTAAACGAGTGTAATCGGTCATGACAACTGTAATAAATGGTGTGCTGTCCTTTCTTAAGGCTGCCTTGTCCAGTCCACCTGATCTCTTGGATGGCCGCTATGTCTATTGAATATGTTTTTAAAATGTTTAGGAGAGATTGTGTAGCTCTGGGTCTATATAGAGTTAAAACGTTCCATGAAGCCAAAGTGTAGTCCAATTGATGAGCGCTGTGTCGTTTCCTGTTTATCGGTCCGGCCAATCTTTTTGGAGCATTCATAATAGAGGTAATTTAATGGGAACGGGCGTCCCCCATCCGGGGCGGCTTCCTAGGGAAGGTGATCCTAGGGTGTGTTCTGTTAGTGACCTTGCGTCAGTATGAGTGAATTGTGTACTGTCATGTGTGTTTTGCGCAGTGTACTGGACTCAGGAGGACGGAGGAGCGTCAGTCTCCACTAACTGTGCACTACAGCTAGCCCCTGCGGCAAGTGGAAGAATGAATTTTTCAATTATTCCGTAACACATAATCCTGAGCTATTCTTGGCCATGCAGGTTTATTGCCACTATTTATCTTACACCTTATTCTGCTTACTAGAGTGTGGTTTAGCCTCTGGTTAAGGCCATGAGAATGTGAGCAATCAATAGATGTGAATATTAATTTAATTATCATTTTCATCATTGAACTGCAGAGTTTAGGACCGTACGCTGATGTCCCAAAATAATACTGAGTTCATTTTTTGCTTAATCGGGTAAATAAGTTTAATGAAATTTTCTGCACATTTATTTGTTGTAGTAAAAATCCATGTACTTGTTAATTATTTACCAATGTATCCAAACATGGTATTATTATTTCTCATTATTATATTGTAAAATACTCAAATTTTAAATTGAAATATGTATATGCACTGTGAATACTTTTTATAAATAAAGTTTAATGGCAATAAGATATACTGATCAAAACTTTAAAAAAACAGTAACCGTAACGGCTCTTTCTTGCCGAGTTAGTCACGGCGGAATGAAAAAACCGCAGGCACTCCTCAAAATTTTGGTCAGGACCTCGGGTTGGCATCCTTCGAGATGGATTCGGCACCTTCCCAACAGTGCTATCAGTATATTCTATATGCGCTCTTTGCTTCTAGATTAAACTGCCTGTTTAGGGAAAACATCAAACTTGATATTTGAATTAAATCAAGTAAGCACAACACAGCTGTTATGCTGCATATATACCTGAGTCATTGTTGTGACGCCGCCATTGTTGAAGTGTAGACGCTCACGTACCGTGATTGACTAGACTGGCCAGTTGAAAATTTTGTGATTCCACTGATTTATTAAACATGGAGTAAAACACTACAGCGGCCGGCAAGAGGCCAAGAAAGGAAGAGAGGGAAGATGAACGAGAAGACTGGCACAACAAGAAAAAGAAAAATTG